AAAAATTTCAGATTCGAATTTTGCGTCGCAATATCTCGGCTCGTAGGGTACGCAGAGGAAAAACAAAAATATTTTCATTATATATTTAGACGCAATCGATTGAGAATTACACACACTTAGAATCTGATCAGTTCAGCCCTTTTTGAGATCCAATAATCTAAATTCTTGGCAACTCACCGGCTCGCGTAAAGTAGCCACGGCAATGTTGCTACGCGTAGCTTAGCGCCGAGACACTACTAGTGTCTGTAGATATAAAATAACGTTTTTATAAATTATATATATTTAAGCAACCAAATATTTTGTCAAATAAGCATATATTCTACATTTTATAGATGAATTCTTAGGTAAGATTGATCTAATCGATTATTAATTGAAGAATATATATGAGAAGTTTAAATATTTAATTACTTTAACTATGCATAAATTTTGGAAGAAACATTTTTTACAAAATACAATTTAATTGTTTGTTGGAAAGTAAGGCCGTTAATATGTTGGATCAATTTTAGATTGATAATGCGTAAACAATATTAACAATGTCAAATGAACATTTATTTAGTCATAATAAACATAACTTTCCAAAACTGTTAAGTAATTTTGATTATAAATAGTGTTGAGTCGCTCGAGGTATAGCCCGGCCCACTTTTTCAAACATAGACTGCGCCGGCAGCGCGTTGAAGAGACAAGAGGGCGCCATTGCTTAGCACCCGGCATCGTCGCTCACACATCTCACCACATCGCACTAAAGGACTCGCGTCGATGGCCGCTACGCACATTCGCGATTACATTACATATGTAATAATAACACTACAAAAATAAGATAAATACAAATCATAATAAACTTCGATGAATAAAAATGTCGAAAAAGAGAAAGCGATGAAACCTATGAAAATCTACGGAAAATCTAATTAATTTCTATTGTAATCTAACACTTCTCTAAATCTCGAGAGGAAAAAATTTTAAGAAAAAGGTATCCGAAAGAAATAATATCATTCTCCTCCATTCTCTATCATTTCCTGTTAGGAGAGTATGATTTCATCGGAATATGATAAAATATCAATAAAGATGTAATGTTTCATTCCAAGTTTTGTTGGAATCTCTCTTTCTATGTATACTTCACAAATCATTGAAAATCTGCAATAATTAACAATGTATTTTCGGTAATAGAAATTCTAAGCTCACTATCGCATAATTACCAAAAAATTTCTTTATTGTTAATCATATCGACATTTGACATAGCATTGTGTTCTCGAGATATAATTAATTATCGTAGGCGGCTCATCATAATCTATTGTAAAATCGGAGAAGAGTAGCATAGTTTTCTATTGTATTATTACAAAAAACGTAGCATATTGTGCATAATAAGTATTTCATGTATATCGTAATTCTCTAATAAGATATTTATAAAAGAATAACGTATAAAGAATTAATCGTGAATATTAAAAATAATAGACTTTCACGTTTCGTGAAAAAGGAAACGATAAGGAACGATAAAAGAATTTGATGTTACAAATACACTATACAAAAAATTGAAGGATCACTTAGTATGTCTTCCAAAAATAGGTAATGTTCAAGAGAATGTAACTTCAAAATAATCATAACGAGATTTTTAAAAAAGTATTTTAAAGCTTGAAGTCTCTACTTTCGAGACCGATTAATTGATATTTCAATCAAATTAATTTTTCTTAAAGTTATAGGATTGTAAATGGATAGTTTTCAAATCTCTAAAAATTTTGTATATATTTTATAAAGTTTTATGACCTGCATTAAAAATCGCAAACAAATTCTGTTTACAGCGTTTGAAAGAGTAAATCTTTACCTTTAATTTGCCTGTTCGTTAAACATTGTATAATATTTTTTCACTGAGTTATTAGCGAAAACGAATTTTTTCACTTTAATGTTGAATAACTCATTAAAAAAAAAACGTAAGAATATCTACAAAGAAGCAAATTAAAGATAAGGATTCGCTCTTTCGAACGCCGTAAACAGAATTTGTTTGCGATTTTTAATTTAGGTCATGGAACTATAAAGTCTGTAAAAATTTTTAGATTTGACGGCTCTCCATATACATTCCTATAATTCTATAAAAAGTCAATCAGAAAGATTGCAATATTAATTACCTATCTCGAAAATAGAGACTTTAAGCTTTAAAATGCTTTTCTAAAATCTTGTTACGCTTATTATACTCTCTTGAATATGATTTATTTTTGGAAGACAGACTGAGTGAGCTTTTAATTTTTTTCCTATAGTGTGTTATAATATACTTTCAGAGGCAAATAATGGAGGATCAATTGCGAATTTGTAGTACGGCAAAGTACGATATGATAAGAAAAAAAAATTAGAATTGTGGACACTGTTAGTAATTCGTTTTGTTTTATTGATTTTGTAAATTTACAGGATCATATTATTTTTACATCTACTTTTGGTGTACTTTTACCGAATTTTGTTACGCAGATAGGAAACGCTATCGTTTCCACATCATCTTGAGGTAGATAGCTTGGTGCATTTTTTTTAAAGTGGTTTTCCCCAGTAGGCATAATCCACTCTGTCCTTACACTTCTAATGTAACAACTGCTCGAAGTGCGTTCCTTGCACTTGCAAGCAAAGTTCGACTCTTCAAGAAATTTGTCACGTTGCACAGTGCATCATATCCGGAATAATGGTTTGAAAGGCCGCTATTTTATCACGTACCTCATTCTGGGTACCATCACGTTTGTGCTCGACTGCAGTTTTGACACAATCCCAGACGAAGTAATCGAACACTTTCAAATCTGGTGAGCGTGCCGACCAAACGATTGAACCACCTCGACCAATCCATTTGTCTAGAAAACATTCATCCAGAATTTCTCGTATTCTGCGAGAATAATGCGCAGGAGTTCCACAGTGCTGAAAAATCAGCTTTTCCCGCTCTCGGAGAGGAATGTGTGTTCACGAGAATCGGTAACTAACTTTCATAAAATCAGCATATGTTCTTCCATGGAAATGTGTAATAAATATGGCCCGATCTGAAAATAGCCCATTGGAAACAAGGCAACAGAAAAAATTTCTTAATTCTCAAGAATATTTACTATTCTGTTAACAAATATTCCTGCCTACACATTAATCGACCACCGATACTGGAAGGCGCACTGTCTAATAGCGTGTGGATTTTCTTCTTGCCAGAACAAGAAATTATGAAAATTGAACACGCTGTTCGGTGTGAATGTAGCCTCGTCTGTCTATAAAATACGATCGGGAAATGAAGCATTTCGCTGACATTGTGCGAGGAATTCTGCGCAAGTTTTATTAATGAGTATTAGTATATGTTAAAAGTGCTATAAATATGAAAGAAAAACCGGAATAAAAAAATCAAAATACTTGTACAAAAATTGATATGTTGTATCTCATCCTGCTAAAAGTTGTTGCACATGTTGAAAATGGAATGGATGCAATCTATTTTGTTTTTAATGCGTGGTTCGCGGTACAGCGAGTGTATGACTTATACGGCGTACACTGTTTTGAGGATTTTCTTCAATCATTTGCATAATTCGCTCGTCGTCATTAATGTAATGCCCTGTCATGGTTTTGATGCACTGCGAGATTTCCTGTTTGTATCGCGCGTTGAAAGCATTCTGTCGTGCGTCTAATGGATAATGACTATTTGAAAATCGCTCCGCGGCGTGAGCATTTCCATCCTGTAAAAATAAATCATATATGTATACTCTTCCATTGTATAATTCATTTTAAGCGCACGCAAATAATACACAACTAGCTCGATAAGAGATCGTGCAACAGAGGAAAGCACGAGAAAAAACATTTAAAAATCGAGAAAGAAGTTCATCGTCTATGTTGATTTTTAAATGTTTTTTATCATATGATTTATTTTTACGGGAAGAAAATCCTCAAAATACTAGCTTGATCAAAAAGTTTCCGGAATTCATTCAGAAAATTCAAAATACAAGTTTATTCATCAAAAGTGATATTGTCCCCTTCAAAGTACTCTCCAGCGACTGCAACGCACTTATGCCAACGCTTGATCCAGCTCTCGAAACATTTCTGGAACTCTATTATTGGTATAGCCATCAGAGCCGTCTTCGATTTTTCCATTACCTCCTTTCGGCTGTTAAAACGCGTTCCCCGCAGGTTTTTTGACTCGATCGAACAGAAAAAAATCGCAGGGAGCCATATCGGGTGAATTCGATGACTGTTGGATGGTATTCGTTGTTGCAAACTCGTTGTTGCAAATTCAACTCCATTTTTAAAACTGTAAAAAATCGAAAACACGCGCAGAGGTACATGTACTCAAGACGGCGTAATTTTTACAAATGTCAAGCTATGGCGATAAAATTTGATGGAAATGTCAATGATAGATGTGGCAACCTAGCCAAAAAAAAGAACTCAAATCAGCTGACTCAGAGCATCACCTGGTGGTCTCTTCCGGAAACTTTTTGATCAAGCTGGTATAAGTCGTACAAGTCATATTCGGTGTATCACGAACCACGGTGCATCATGTTTTAAAGGAAAATGGATTGTATCCGTTCCATTTTCAACGTGTGCAACAATTTTTTTAGCACTGGATGAAATATAGCATATCAATTTTTGTATTTTAATTTTTTTATTCCAGTTTTTCTTTTATATTTATAGCACTTTTAACATATACTAATACTCATTAATAAAACTTGCGCAGGATTCCTCGCACAATGTCGGCGAAATGCTTCATTTCCCGTATTTTATGGACAGACGAGGCGACATTCATGCCGAATGGTGTGTTCAATTCTTATAATTTTTTGCTCTGGCAAGAAGAGAATCCGCACGCCATTAAACAATGCGCCTTCCAGTATCGGTGGTCGATCAATGTGTAGGCAGGAGTATTTGCTTACAGAATGGTAAATATTCTGTTTTTTATTAGCGCGATTCAATAGCATTTTTTTACTAGTCGAGGCAAAAGATGAGGAGTAAGAAAAAATACATGTGTAGTAATGTGAACGAAAATTTTTTTTTATTCATAAATTATTACATCGTTTTTTTTCATACGTATTAAAAACTAAAACTAATAGCTCGCAATCGACGAGCTCCATTGAAGATGTCGCTATCGCATATAGCGTTCTCAGACGTGATATTGGAGAATCGCATATACTTGACATTAATCATATCGATGAGTCGGGCTAATTGTTCGAACGTTAGCCGTCAAAGTCAAACATATGGCGCAGTGTCATCTCAGTCATCGTAATGCGTACGGACAAAGAATCGAGACGTACGAGCGTAGCATCGTTTAGCATGCAAATTCTGATGGTTAGCGGTCCAACGCTTATAAAATTGTCCTTGTATTCGTTCCGCCCAATAAAAAATTCATAAAAGGCGCAGTACTGCGCCAGTACTGGCTAATACTGGCGCAGTATCGGCAGCCAGTGTTGACATCTATACTGATATATGTGTGGGATGATAACAATGTTCAGTATTGGTTTGCCAGTAATGAGTCAGTACTGGCTGTAAGTGCAGGTGCAGTACTGATCTTACGGACGCGGTACTGGCATAAATCGGGCATGATAATGATGCTCTATACTGGATTAGTGTCAGGTCAGTACTGATATTTGCGCAGTAACGTTTTTTGTATAATTTAGGGATACTATTCTAGATCGTTTATCGGTAGTTGTCGATATCATTGTGTCGGTATCATAAATAAGAATTTGGAAATATTACATCTCAGTCTCTTCAGTTTCTTCAATTTCTGTAACTTCCTCCGTTTTTTTGAACTTTTTTAAATTCCTATCCCTTTTCCCACCTTCTCTATCTTTTGCACCCGAAAACCAGCGACTAAATTGGGAGTTGACTTTTTTTAATTGAAATTTCGGACATTTAGTAAGTAGGATTTAGTAGGTAGTAGTATTTCTGAAATTACAAAAAAATTATTTAAAAAATAATTACTTATATTAAAAAATTTATAAGTATAAGAAAGAATATCATATACCTCGAAAATGTTTATAAGTCTCTGTCTTAGAAAAATTTAATTTTTGCACACCATTTGTTTCTCGTCCAAAAGCAGAATAAAGGAGTTGTACGTTTTTCGTTATAATATGAGGAATAACTGAACTAAGATTTTCTGTAAACTTTACATTTTTTACAATATATTAAGCACTATGAAGCATTTCTGAAAAAGGAAAAAAATTAATATTATATATAAATATAAGTAAAATCTGAAATGAATCTGAAATTCTTACGACTTTCTTGATCAAGTCTTCATCTTTCTTCAAATCGTTTTCAAATTGTAGGAAACTGTTTAAAGTATCCTTCGGCAAATCAGTAATTTTTCCCTCCAGCATGATTTTTTTCAATCTGTCCGACATTGTTATTAGCGGCAATAACTTTTCTAATTTTTCTAGTCTCTTCGCGGATTATATATTCAATGCTTCGCTTCATGGATTTCAAGAAAGACTTTAATGGAAATTCCGGTGCTAAAATGAATAAAAAATATATGTGGAATATTAACGTAAATATTTATTATGTATATTTTAAATTATATTTTTCATCTTATTTAAATTTAATTTTATTTATACTTTATAAAAAATTATAAAAAATAAAAGTAATTTATTATTGTTACATTTATATTTTTTGTTATTATAATGTATTATTTTATTTTGTTATTGTTACGTCATATTTGTTATATTATTATGTTATATTATATTATGTTATATTTATATTTGCTATATTTAATAAATATATGAAGTTTTCTAACATTATCTGTACAACTGCATGTTGGGTAAGATTTGTATCTCTTCTCCGATGATGTTTGGTCTGTAAATAGAAAATAAAAGAGCTCGACATATTTGTAACTTAAAACAAAAAATTAGGAAAGTTTAATAAATAATTTTTTGACCTTTATTTTCCTTATTTGCATTTGAAGTTATTAAATATTTTGAAATCTCAGGTTCCTTTTTGTTTTGATTGCAATTCTGAAAAAAATTAAGAAAATAATAAAATATTTTACATACTGAAATAAAAAATACTTAAAGCAAATTAAAATTTAATATATTACTCATTTCAATAAGTATTGAATTTATAAAAAAAATAAATGTTTTTACTCATTGACCGTTTAGTAGCATTATCTTCGTTTTAGACAATGAATTTTGAAAAACATCTGAGTTTAGAGGTCTTTCATTTGATGACTGAATTTTTTGTTTCGGAATTGATGAAGTTGAACTTACAGAACTTTCATCATTCTGCAAACCAAACCCTAAAATCACCATTATTTTTACAAATAGAAAAAGAGATAAATGAAATTACTAAAAGGTAAAGATTCAAATTTTCAAATTAAAAATTTTTTAATTTGCATTTTTTTTACCAATCTTTAAATTTACTTTTTTTAACCAATCTTTAAACTTACTTTTATGTTTTCTAACTGTTTTCTTTGCTTTTACAGAGGGCAACGACGATGATGGTGTATCACTATCATCAACTCTTAATTTATCTTTTTCATTGGAAAAATCGGACACTGAAGTGTCAATATCATCTGTTCAACAAAAAATTTAATATTAACAAGATAATAAATTTGAAAATATTTTCTGTATCTATTCGTAATAAAAAGAATTTACCATCATATATTTTATTTGTAATTTTCATAGAAGGAATTTTCGTTTAATTTCCGAAGATCACTTCCGGTCAGACATTGAGGATCTTCCTCCTCTTCAGAACTGTTATATTCTTCGATGTTACTACTCTCAATTAGTGCATAATAGAACGGTCTTTTCATTCGTCTTACACCTTGCTCATAATCTCCTAAATCGTAAGAAATTGAGCTTGAATAAAGAATTGTATTTATTGGATCATCTAAAAAGTATCCGCGGTTTTTTGTCACTAGATGGTGTTGATGGTCATATATCGGGCAACACTAATCCGATTGTGTCAAACGAACGCGCATCTGAAAGATGACATTTTAGGTTATTACATTTTTTGTAAACAAAGTTTGGTGATTCATCAATCGTGTCAAAAGTTATATTGGTTTGAAAATGAGTGAAATATCTGAAGAAATACGTTATGTGATGCTTTTTTACTACAAAAAAGGGAAAAACGCAGCATATGCAGACAAATTTGTGAAGTTTACGGCGCGGATGATGTAAGTGAACGCAGGACGCAGGAGTGGTTTGTTCGATTTCGTTTTGGAAATTTTGATGTCAAAGATCGACCTCGCTCTAGTCGGCCAGTCACTCGAAAAGTCGATGAAATTTTGCAACTCAAGCAAGATCGGCATGTGAGCTGTCAGGAGATAACCAATGCACTAAGAGTCAACCATATGACAGTTTGGAATCATTTGAAAAAGGCTGGCTACGCAAAGAAACTCGATGTTTGGGTGCCACATGAATTAACGCAAAGAAATTTGATTGATCGAATTTCCATCAGCGAAACACTACTAAAACGCAACGAAATCGACCCATTTCTGAAGCAAATCATCACAGGCGATGAAAAATGGGTGAAATACAAGAATATTGTTCGTCATAAAGATCATGAAATAAGCGCGGCGAACCACAAACGACTTCAAAGCCTGGATTGATGACAAATAAGGTGATGTTGTGTGTATGGTGGGAAGGGAATCGTCCATCATGAGGTTGTTACCACATGGCCTAACGATTAATTCAGAGCTCTACTGTTCACAACTGGATTACAGGAAGCGATTAAGGAAAAATGACCAGAATTGATTAACAGAAAAGGTGTTGTCTTCCATCATGACAACGCCAGACCACACATATCTTTGATGACGCGTCAAAAATTGAGGGAGCTTGGTTGGGAAGTTTTGATGTATCCACCGTATAGCCCGGACCTTGCACCGTTTGACTACCATTTATTTCGATCTCTGCAGAACTCTCTTGATGGAAAAACATTGGCGATAAAAGAGCTGTCGAAAATCACTTGAAAAAGTTTTTCGCCGATAAACCACAAAAGTTCTACACGGATGGAATTATGAAATTACCCGAAAAATGGCAAAAGGTTATAGATAATAATGGCCAATATATACTTGATTAAAATTGATTTTCAATAAAGAAAAATTTCATTCAAAAATTGAACAAAAAACCGCGGATATTTTTTAGATGACCCAATATTTAAATATGTAATACCTACTAACTTCTTTTATAAGAGTCATTTCAAAACTCTTCCATGAGGCGTGAGGTTCAACAGATGTTCTACTCCATTTATTTACTTTAGAGTACTCAGATTTATCAGGGTATCTACAAAATAATTGATCATTCTGAGTGTACGTTCACTGCACAGGGACAAGATCGATACTGGCTTGTCCAATTTTACTTTTTTCAGTAAATTTGATTAAGATGAGTCGTATCTTTATGATAATCCATATTATAATTTCACTATAACAAAAAATAACATACAGATATGAAGTATTAGAAGAAAATTAATTATATTATAAAATGTAAATAAAACTAACAAGTATAGGCGTTCTTTCTTTATCAATTTTTGTTCGGAAAAGCTTACGAATTATGAAATGTTACTGCGAAAGTATTGCTACTGTCCTCAAAAAGAACACATTTCTTTTTAATATTTTCTAGAAAGGTCACTTTTTCCCTTCGAGACAGTCGACTCAGTTTCATGATTTCCCACTTTTGTCGATTCACACGGGAATTTGAAGATATCCGTAACTGTTTTGAATCCATAACCATGTACAAAAATATTCTGTCCTTCTCTTCTGATTTTTGTAATTATGAGCATCTCATTGGAATCTAATTGTACAATGCTATTCGGCTTTGACGTATTTATTTCTACTCCACGTAGAACGATACTCTTCAAATCAATTGCACGTTCATATGGAACATCAGGATCAACTATGACAACTTTTTTTCTGTGAATAGCGTTCTTTAATACCGTTTTTGGGCATCTTTCTTCGGATTCTCTTCTAACTAACTGTGCCACTGGATTCTTTTTTCCTCGAATTTTTTGTTTAATTTTACCAAGCTTGTTTTCAAAAGGAAATGCGGAAAATTCGGACAGAGACAATTTTGTGAATTCAAAGTCATCTGCGTAAGTGAATTAAGTTATGATGGTTTATAATTTGTGAATTTGAACCGTAAAATGAAGGAAGAAGCTCAAAGAATTTTCTTAACAATTTTCTAGCATAATTAGTATGTTTTAAACATAAATCTGGATCGAAAAAAACTCTACACGCAACTACCAGGAGAAGAAAATGTTGATACATCTTTTTGGGCAGAGCTTCTGTAACACTAGGGCTCCACAATAATGTAAAAAGAGGCGATACTGTGTTGCTTTCCAGTGATTGAATTCATCTAAATCGAGTGTTTTTCTTTGGAATTTTTCAGGTACATATATCAATAATACTTTTAAAGTAGAATTAAATAATTTCACATCGCGACGATGAAGTTTGCATTTGCGATTAATTTGCTTTTTTGTTCCAAGCAAATTGTTGTAAAATCCATTTCATAATTCCCAAATAAAGTAAATGCATGGAATGCAAAAATACTAACCTGACAAGGTCGAAATGTGGTATAGTCAATGGTGATCTGCCTTCCAAATGGTGTTCTTTTTGTTGTTGTCTTCTGAAAGAGTCTTCAGTTCGTTGTTTGGAATTCATGTTAGGATAAATTCTTCTTTTATTCTTTGTTTTACTTCTTATTTCACATCGCTCACAAGCATAAAATCCACCATGATTTTTATATTTTTTAATAAACGATCTTGCAGGTGTATCGCAAGAAATTCCAATAATTTCTACCTTCAATACTCTTTGACCAATGATTATAAAATTTTGAACTAAAGAATTTGCTTCTTCGACAAAATCTTGTAAATATTCATTTACATTTTGTGGTTTCGAATTTTCGCTATATACAGCAACAATAAATGGTTGACACTCGTATTGATTATGCAAAACAAGTCCTAAGATGACCCAAAATTGTTCATTTGAACAATCATATAATGGGAGGCCATCAATATTAAATAATAAACGAATAGTGTTCTCTGTATATTCATCAGTAATTATTGCTTTTAATTCTTCTTCTATACCAAAATATACATAACAACTGTTCGTGTTCTTAGAACTTTTCATACTTTTTATATTTAAATATGATTTTGTTTGCAATAAGGTAGCTGTCGATTTGGGTAGATTTAGTAGATTTTCAACTCGTAAAATCATCAACAACGCATCTATTGCCTCAACTGTTAAACTATTCCTAAATTTTACACACCAGCCCTGTAATGTTCTTCTCGAAAAGAAGATATTGTCACAGTTAAGTCATCATTGCTACTTCTTCGGGATGAGCTTTCTTCTCGGTGATTGTTGAGAAGTCGGTGATTGTTGAAAAGATGGAAAAAATGGAGGAGATTGACAATTTAACGAGCTACAATCTGGCGATCTATTATTTAAGTCGAAAGATTTATTCGTAAGACTCGATGAGTTACCGTTATTATCACAATTATCAAAATATTATTTGTTTTTATTAATTGTTATTAAAACTATTGTGTGATTGATTATGATCATCATGGCTGTGTGAACTATTGTGGTTCCGATTGTGATATGAATTATTTTCATTATGTGAATGATTATTATTAGTACCTATAACTCGATTTATTTCCATTGGCTTTCTAATACAAGAATTTGAATTGTCCAATCGACATTGTTTATTAGCATCTGTTACGTTACTTGATAATATTACTTCTTCAGCTGATCGTTTCAACTGATGATATTTCTTTATTCGATAATATGCGCTACACATTTTATTTATTTATCTGAAAAAATCGCAGTACAAAAATCAACATTTATTGAAAAACGGTATTAACGTACTATAAATATTTCGCTCTTGTAATTTCAATAAATATGATAAATATATTTGTTGTTATAGTAATTATTTATAATAAGTTTTTTTTCGAATTATAATGTTTTTTTGCAATTTTGATAAATTTTGTTTTGAATGTAACAGTGATAATTAATTCGAAGAGGTCGAGAAATATGTAATCTATCTATTTTTTAAAACTATTTATTTCCAGTATAGCTTCTCGGATCTTTCGACATTACAAATACATATAATCCTTAAAAAGGTCGATTTTAGTCCTAAATATTAGTAGTATGGTACATGTATTTTTTATGTATTAAATCTTCGCTTAAAAATACAAATTCTCTGCTTTAAAACAAAAATTCTCTGTTTAAAAACACAAATTTCCTACTTTAAAAACATAAATTATTTTTATATAATTTGTGTTTTTAATGCAAAGAATTTTGATTTTAAAGTAAAGGATTTGTGTTTTAAAGTACAGAATTTATATTTTTACAGCGGAGAATTTGTGTAATTAAGGGGATGCTGGAGCGAAGGCCGAACTTGATCAAGGTCGATATTACAGGTTTTCATTTCCAATGTATAAGCTGCTTACGCCCTCTGAAGTTAATATGATCATGCAGGAAATTCGATCGATTAATTATCGATATTTTTATTCCGTTTCCTACATTACCATCTTAACAGGGACGTGTATTAGGATCGGTCCCACAATGTAAGATTTATTTTGGAAAATTTTCCAATTTTAGAATTGAAAAAAAAATAAACATAATTGAAGTTAATCTTATATTTGTAGAATCGGACCTTAGAAATTTAGTTGCATTATATACATATTTAGTTGTATTATATACACATGCAATGTAGGCCGTGTTCTAATATATATCACCAGTACTAAAAGTCTGTAATATATATAAAATACAGATTTTTAATTAATAGATATATCGATACGAAACAGTAATAGCATTTTTTTCTTACATCCAATGCCATTTTAGGTTACGATAATATATTATCATAAATGAATATCATAATATATATATATATATATATATATATAGATATTCATGCAGATATTCTCTATGTCCATTTTTGCAATATTAAAATTTTATATTATAATGTGTATAATGATATATAAAATGTAATTCTAACGTTGTATATAAAAAGACATTCATGAATACGAATTACAATTACATTTTATATGTATTATAATATATGTGTATATACACAATAACACAAAAAATATTATTGACATATTAGTGAAGACATAAACATGTTAGT